ATTTAAAGTCCAAATCCAACATTAATTTACTCATTTCTTTTTCCAAATTTAATTTAAACTTATTTTTGGAATAACCAATTTTTTCTAAAATCATTAAATTACACATTTCATTAATAAATAATTTATTCATTAAATTCTCTATCAAAACAAAATTTCCTTCAATTAATTTTATTTTTTTAATTTCTTCTTCAGAAATATCCAATTTAATTAAATTTCCATTTTTTAAAATTTCTGAAATATTTTCTTCTTCTTCCGCAATTACTATTTGTTTTAATGCCAAAGCTAAAGCAAAATATTTTGCTTTAACAAAATTTGAAAAAAATTTTGAAAGATTTTGTTGGAATATTTCTTCTCCTTTTGTTGATTTTTTAAACAAATTTTTATACGAAAATCCTTCATTTTTCTTCAACCTTTTTTAATTTAAAAATTTTATAAATTATTAAGACTAATAAAAAAGTTGATTTAGGGCATTATTATCAATAAAGTAGGGCATTTTATTAATTTCAAATAATATATTCTTCCTGCACGTCAAATGTATGTTTGGCGGATCCTGAGAAATCCCCGCATATTCGGATTCGGTATCCAACCGAAAATTTTGGGATATTCGGACCAGGGATGAGCGCAAGAGACAATCTCAAAAAATGCAAACGCAACGCAAAGCCTAAATTTAACGCAAATAACGCAATGCGCTCACTCCTGATCAAATTTTTCTGATCGTCAACCCTAGCCAAATGTTAGAGGCTCACTGCCAATTTGGAATATTTATTACAAGGAAAAAGAGAGAGCCACCAGGCACGAATAATTAATAATTAATTACTTGTTAAATATTTGATAAAATTTTCCTTCAATTCTCTCATTTATATTTTCAATAAGATGTAAAATAATTGAATAACCGTTGACATTACTTTTTTTAATTTGATTAAATATTCCTTCCCAATTAATTTTAATTTTATTTTCAACTATTTGGACGTTAATTTTGTTTTCATTTTTCGTTAAAATATTTGTAAATATTTCAACGATTTTTCCATAATTTTGAATGAATTGATTGTAGGGAATCAAAAGTGGAGTATTTTCTGTGTAAATTTTATAGAAGTTAATTTAGGCTTTGTTGAATTGACTGGGTTTTCCCCGAATCCTTCTAAATTTCAGATAGGGTTAGGTCTCCGTTCTCCGTGGCAGGGAATTCTCCGGGGAACATCAGGAGGTCTCCACCCGTTCCCTGCCCCACCCCGTTCCCCGAACACTAATTCCCCACAACCCTCGTTTCCATAAACTCAGCCCACGCCCGAATATCGAATCTAATTAAGGAGATTTAGACAATTATGGGGGTATTGGGCGTTTTGTAGGTTCGATTCCGGGGGTTCCAAATTCTAGGCTCATTCTCAGGCTATTTCAAAATATTTTCTACTTATTAGGAGCTGGTTATTTATGGAGCCACTCATTCACAAATCCATTCAAGTAATCAACAAATAAATATTTACCTAAATTCAACAAAAGTTTCAGGGAGTATTTAAATATTTTATCATTCCACCCAGTAAGATTAAAATTAGTTTTGTTGATTGTTTCAACAAGTTTATTTTTTTCTTCGGGTTTCATTTTATCAGTTACATTTTCTCCAACAAAATTAGATAAAATTAAAATTTTAACTAATTTATCTGTAACCATTCTTTTATCGTTATCGGAGGAGGATTTTTCTTCTATTTTCGCTAAAAAACACTTTAGACGAAAAATAAAAAAATTGTTCTGTTTGTTTTTATTTTCCACTATTTCAATGTAGTCGTTAAGATTTGGAGGATTATCTGTACATTCATTATACAGAAAATTCATCGCTGGATTATAGATCCATTTGAAAAAGTTTGGCTAAAATGAGAAAATGTTTGTGATAATTTTAAAATAAGAATAAGAGATCATGGTGTAAAGTATATGTGCCGGAGTCGTATTCCGGATTTGGAACGGATTCCGGATTGGATTTGGGATTCCGGATTGGATTTGTCGGATTCCGGATTGGATTTGTCGGATTCCGGATTTGGAACTAGAGGCCTACTTTGACTGGATCAATCCGGTCTGGAAACGTAAAAGACTCCTAGTCATTGGAGTGGGGAGTGAGAGTGGAGAGATAGTAAGGAGAGAGGAAAGACCTTAAGGACACATACTCCTGAAAATCGACCATATTTGGTCCAGCGTGGAACACTACATAGGTATTTATCTTGTACCTTTTCAATTATAGGCTTTTCAATACAATTCATATCTAAACGCCAATTTAAAAATTGTTTGAGTTTCTCAGCGTCAAATTCTTTTTGATTTCTTGAAAATTTGTTAAAGTCAACTTTAATTGTTCCAAAGTCTAAGAATTTAATTCCTTTAAATTTCGGATAAAGGACAGCCATTAACTTTAAAGACAATTTCAATTCCTCCAACTTTTGTGTACTAACAATCTCCAAAAAAGAATGTGTATCATATTCTTTTAATGTTTTGTACATTAATGTTGCAATATACAAAGGTTTAGTAAGCAAAAAAGATCGAAGAAGATTTTTAAAATTTTCTGAACCTTCATTTAATTGAAAAATTCCTTTAAATTCTGGTTGTTTATTTAAATTGTTTTTGTCTGAAATTTGTTTTTTATGTTTATTTTTGGTTTTTGTTTGAAAGAAAAATCCATCAACACATTCAACATAAAACCATAAATGACTTTTAGCTTTATCTATCGCTTCTTTCTTATTTTTGCTATTAAGAACTATCTAAATTTTATTACTCAAACTCAATAGTATACTAAATTTTCAATAAAATTTAGTATCCAATTAGTAACTTTTTCCAAATCCGCCTCTACAGTACTCTATTAAATGCTTTCAATTAAACAAAATGATATTCATTTCTAAATCTCTTTATTATACCGTATTTCCTCTAATTGAGCGGCGCCTCTATTTGAACGGCAGTCTCCAATAGAACGGATCCTTGAGAAGGGATCGAAAAATAGAGCGGCACCCTTTACATTCCAATGTAATATTTACTTTTAAATATTACTAGAGATTGGAATTACGATATTGAAGAAATTCCAGATAAGAATATCCTGATAACATAAGAATATCCTTGATTTAAGAGTTAAGAAGTATATCGATTCTCCTCACATATCCTCGATTTATAGTTTAATACCTAGATTTATACATATTATTGAATCCAAAAAATTCAACGCTGGAATGATTCCAAAGTTTATCGACCTATTTTTATAACCAAACCTTCAATCTATTTTAGTCAACAATAAAATAAAAACATGCCGTGATTGGATCATTAATTTCCAGGCTAAAGCTTCCTTTAGAATTTTTACAAAAAGCAAAAATTCCTTTAAATCGGGCAAAATCGTCAAAATTAGCCATTTCATTCAGAAATGTGTTGCCACATTTTTCTGGGTCAAAACAATTTTTAGCATTGTTTAGAGTTGAAGAAATTTGTTGAATTATATTTTCATCTATTGCCTCAATGTTGGAAGAAATGTCTTCTTCAATAGAGCAAAATATTTGTTTAGTGTAAATTAACACAAGTAATTTTAAAACAAATAGCTTTAACATCTTGACTTTTTAAAATTTAATTAATATAAAATAAATTAATTCTAACTAATTCGACGCTTGCTTTATAGCCAGTCTTTTGCTTCACTCTTTATTTTACCCTGCTTCTTCACTCCCTCCTCGTTTATTTCACCACTCTTCGCCCCTCTTCCTTTATTACCCAATTAGACTCGTGAGTTCTAACTCTAAAGATCTGTTTCAAAATTTCGATTTACAAGCAGAACTGTTTCGAAATTTCGCTATTTAACATTTAATTTTAGGGTTTCGAAATTTCTCAAACATTTAACTTTTGGCGCCAAAGAAAGGAATTCTGGCTTTCTGGCCAAGGAAAATTCAGAAAAATTTCTCTTGATGCGCAAAGAAGTAGGAAAATCAAATTATTTTATCAAATATCAAATAATTTGAAAATATTTTATAATTTAGTACATCGGATTTAGACGGATATCGGAGAATCAAAGAGGATATAGGTATATCGATGAAATTAGAGGAATCAAGGAGGATACAAATGGGCTTGATTACTTCTTTGCGCATCAAGAGGAATTTTTCTGAATTTTCCTTGGCCAGAAAGCCAAAATTCCTTTCTTTGGCGCCAAAAGTTTTATGTTTGAGAAATTCCGAAACCCTAAAATTAAATGTTAAATATCGAAATTTCGAATGGCTCTGCTTGTAAATCGAAATTTTGAAACAGATCTTTAGAGTTAGAACTCACGAGTCTAATTGTGTAATAAAGGAAGAGGGGCGAAGAGTGGTGAAATAAACGAGGGAGAGTGAAGAAGCAGGGTAAAATAAAGAGTGAAGAATACATCCAAACTACATAGTAAGTTTATAATAATTTATTTTCCAAAGAAAAACAATTGCTTAGGAACTTTTGCATCACTGCCTATAAGTTCTTTCTTCATTGAGATCTAAAAATGCCGAAATCAACGGTAATTTGAATAGGCCCTAGACCGTATTTATGTAGATTAAAATTTTCTGCTCTCAATTAGCTTGTCGTTAATTTATAAATGTCGTCCATTCGAGTCTATCAAGTAAGTATTTTTAGTGACCGGCGCGGGACGGACGTGCGGGATTTTGCGGGATACCGCTCCCGCACTTTTTTCGATTTGCGGGATTTTGAGGGGGATTCCCGCGGGATCCCGTCCCGCTCTAATAAAAATACTATTTTTATTAAAAATACTATTTTTCTAATAAAAATACTATTTTTATTAAAAATACTATTTTTCTAATAAAAATACTATTTTTATTAGAGACCGGCAAAATCGCACTTCCGGGATCCCGAGTCGGGATTTTTTCTTAACCGATGCCGGGATCCCGTGGGATAAATCCCGAAAAAATCCGGAATTAAAAAAATCCCGAAAATGATTTTTCGGGATCCCGTCCCGCGCCGGTCTCTAATTTTTTTTTGTCCACATTTTTAAAAAGTTAAAATTCAGTTTTTAAATGAAATTTTCCAAAACAAATTTAATGAGAATAACAACAAAATATCTTAATTCAGCAACAATCGGAGAATCAAAAAACAACAATTCTTTAAATAAATCTTTTTCAAAAATTGTTTCTTATTATGAACAATTTATTGGACTTTCTGAAGTTCAAAAAGCTAGAAATGAAGTTAATCAAGTAATTAAATTTTTTTGAAAATTTTTTCTTTTTAATTTGTTGGTCGGCAAATTAATGTTTATCCGAAAAGTGATATTTTCTGTTTTTCTTTGATATAGATGGCCATAACTGGATTTTTTTAAATTTGAGGATTATTTTTATTATAGTAACAGGTTGATTCCCAATAGAATTTTTTAGATATTCTTCTTTATATATAAATTTACTTGAATTTTTATTGGTTTATTTTTAGGGTTGGTGTTTTCGAGTCGGGCCGACGTTCGAGTCGTTTCTTCAGGCGGCCCGACCGAGGCTTTTTCGGGCCAAAATTCAATTCCCGACACGATTTTTTAGATCGGGCCCCCGCCCCTATTTATTTTATTTTTAAATTTAGTAATTAATTTTATTTTTTAAAAAATTATTTTTATTTTTGCGGACATTTTTAAATAATTGCGGATAAATTCTAGGAATGTTACTTTTTTGGCATAAATTTTATTAAGTTCATCTAGAATAGAGTTTGCTCCCAAATTTAAATAAATTATTAATCTTTTTCAATCAAAATTATAAATTCTAATAAAAATTTTTGAAAAATCCGCAAATATTAAATTTTGTCCGCAAATTTAAAATTTAATTTTTTGGGATTAATTGTCCTTTAGAGTCAATATATTTTTAAATTTTTTAATTTCAAGTGTGAAAGTAATTTATTCCAAGCCCAACAGGACAGAAGAGAAAAACAATCAGAAATCAGACTTGTACAGAATAAATTAAAAGAAATACACAGCGAACTTGACAGGACATTGAGAGGGGAAGACAAGTTTGGAATTTTAAATTTTTTTTACTTTTTTAAAAATAAATTTAGATATTTACGTCTAATAACTGAAGAACATGCTGCAATTAAAAAAGAAAGGGAAATGATGAATATTTATGAGGAATTGGAAACTAGGGAGAGGGAGGCTTTTAATGTTTTGTCTAATAAGGTTTGGGGAATTTTTTTTAAATAATTTGGGGGTTTTGGAATGAGGTATTTTTTTGGATTTGGGGTAGTTTAGTAATCTGAGGAGTAATATTGAACAGGACAGGCCCCATTTTTTCCTACCCAAGTTTCCCCTTTATTTTAGCAAAATGGTCAGACACCTTTTCCTTTCTTCCATCTCCAAATTGCTTTTTTTAATTTTTCTCTACAATCAATCAAAAAGGATTATTTAATTTTATACAAGTGCAAGTACATGCCAAAAAGAAGTAAAAGGAAGATTGTTTTTTGGTATTTAACAAGTATAAGAGTTTTGTTTGATTGTAGGCAAAAATTAGAAAGGCAATTTGGATGTAAGAAAGGAAAAGGTGTCTGATCGTTTTGCAAAAATAGGGGAAAATTGGGAAGGAAAAAAGGGGTCTGTCCGGTTAAATATTAATTTAATTTAACCCTTAATTAAAATAAATAACTACCATATTTATTCTAATAGAATGACCGCCATAATATTTTTCAATACCCCTAAAAAGGACCATTCTATTGGAGGGGCCATTCAAATAGAGGCTTTACTATATGAATAAAAAGCTAATTCTGTTAAGATTTCGAATAAATTCTGATAAAATATTTAATTAAAGCTTCTAAAAAATTAATTAAATTTACAACAAATTCCAACCTAATTAAGATTTATTTTTGGTAAATATTTAATTCGATTAACTTAAAATTTTTTGGGAATTTTTCTTCGCTTTTTAAAAAAATTTTTCTTTTTCTAATTTTTTAAAATTATTTTTTATAATTTTATTTTTCCAGAAATTTCTTTTAATTTTATCATTTTTCTTTATTTTTTTTTAAATTTTTTCCCAAAAATTACTCAAATTCCAGTTTACTTTCATTTTTAATTCTAAATAACTTTGCGGTCAAAACTTGCGGACATTTCTTAAAATAATTTAAATTAGATTTTTTTCGCAGGTCAGAGTCAGTCACGAACGTGAACGTGAAAGAGAAGAAAGGACGAAATATTGGTCACTCATGGATCATTATTTGGTGCTTTATTGGGTATTTTGGGCACAACAATAGCCACCGAATTGAGAATGAAACATATTCGGGAAATGATTCCTTCTGGACAAGAAATTAAGCCTTTACTTGATGAAATGGTTCAAATGGTTAGGGGAAATCAGGGACAGGTTTTTAATTGAATTTTTGGTAAAATTGTTTTTAGATTTTAAAGGTTTCCGAATTTCTCGAAAATTTGACAAAAATGTTTAATTTGGAATCTTCAAGGCTTTTGAATTCTAAAAATAAATTTAATGAAAATAATGTGGATATAACTGGAAATGATTTTATAAAGATTTTGGGTGGATTGAAAGAACAGGTTTTTTTGCTTAAATTAATTGGAGATTTTTTAATAGGTTTTTTGAATATTTAGGAATAATTGTTTTTAGTTTTGTTTTTAGTCAGGGACGGGTTTTCATTTAAAATTTTTCCTATAATTTTAAATGAAAGTAAATTTTGCAACTATCTCAAAGAAATACATAACCTTTTTTTGTATTTTGCGCTTCCCTTTGAATAACGTTTGATAAATACAAAATTAAGTTTGTTAAAATATTCTCAAGTCGAGTTATGAGGGATTGAAATTAATTTAGAAATCTTGACCATCCTTTTTCTAAATTAATGAAAAATTATTCGACGTAGATATCGATAAATCTTTTTTCCTTGGTTCGAGTTAATGTTGGAGGTTGATGTTGGAGAAAAATTAAGGGTCCATAATAATATGTCTGTCCGCTTTGATTATGTTTCCAGAAAAGATACATGGCACATATATCCCAAGGACTGAAACTTTGAACGGCCATAACTCGGCTCAAAGTTATTTTGCAAAAAAAACGGATCACTCCATAATAGTAAGTCGAGAGCCCTCTATCGAATGGTAACAAAAAATTATCAAATTAGCACTGACAGTAAACGATGTTCACTTTTTAGAATATAAATTTTGCCTCTAAATAATGCTGATGATCAAATAACACTTTAATAAAATCTATTATTTTTTTAAATTAATTTTTTTAAGAATTCAGCCCTTTCTGACCAAATGAATGAATTAAAACGTTTATTAAATTTGGAAAGAATAATTATTTCTGATAGTGAAGAAAATAAACAAAATTTTGTATTTATTGGAGATTCAATGGAAGCAATGCTTCAACAAACAGAAAGAAATATTGAATCAAAAATGAAATTACAAACATTGGCTTTTGTTGTTGGGTAATAATTTTTTTTGAAATTTTTTAAAAATTTTTGGAGGCTAACAAATTATGATTTTTGTTTTATACAGGGTGACACAAAAAGGATGTCCCACTTTTCAATCCATTATAACTAATTTTATTCTTTTCATTTTTAAATAATTTTATACTCTTTTTGTAGTGTCGCTGAAGAAAACAAAAATGGGGTTGCGGCGCGACAGGTGTGAACCGCAGTTGTCGGGATTGAATTAGACTGTCCCGGGAAGCCCTAAATTCTTCTTCAGAAAGTGGTCCAACTCTCTAGGGCGAGTGGACGGAACCAAAGCTCTTTATTGACGAGCTATTGAAGTTGCCTAAGGGCGGCAAAGGAATACCAAACAAAAAAAAGGAAAGAATAATCAAATTAAAATATTTATTCCGAGGGACCTCAAACTTGGGTAATTAAACCATAAAATAAAATGAGTGAAAAACTTAAGTTTGGCCAAAGTATTTAAAAGTAAATTGAATGGATAAAGGCCAAAACCTAAGTCGGAAAAATTAACTAAAGCGCAGGTGGGGAAAAAATGTAAAAGTGAAGGAGAAATAAACACAGAGAATAAAGCTTAAAATAGCTAAAACTAAATGAATAAATAAAATGATTAAATAAGCATAGGAGAAATGATCAGAAATGGGGTTAGCACAAAAGGGTGTGGCTAACAAAAGAGATATGGGCAACTGGTACAAACGATTAAATAATTAGACGGTGCAAAAGATCACCAATAAAAAGATCAAAAATATTTAATCAATTATGGCAAACGTCGCTTCGGCGACACTGGGGCGCCGGCCAATAGCAGCGAGCATGCCATTCATCTGAATGCCCATTGTTGCGGTATAGCATATTGATTCTCCAATGCCTATTGAGTTCTCTGTGGGTTCTCCTTTTACTTGACTCAGGCAGTAAATATTTTCCCCTTTGATTTTGGTTGCGCAGAGAGACGCATAGCGCGGATAGGAGTTTGAAATAAAGCGGAGAAGATTGAAAAAAAGAATTGGATACGGTGAACACAATTTTAACGTGAGTGATAATCCAATAGATAAAAGTAAAATGAATAGCAGTCCCGATCCTGATAAAGTTCCAGAATTGACGGGAGCATTCCGCTTTATTAAACAGTTGCCGGCGCAGCATAATTCTAAATTGGTGAATTCGCTGGGGCTGATTATTGTAAATCCTTTCTTAATACATGAAATTTGACATTTTGGGCATGCCATATTAAATTTTGGCGATCTATTGATGGACGCAAAACAGAAAATTAATAATGCCACGTATAGTAGGGTAGACACGAGTGCTCTCGATTTGTTCCTCGTTATCATTCGATGTCCGGCGTTAGTCTTTGGGTCCCGCATGGAAGTTTCTTGAGTTCCTTCGGTAGCGGTGTCGACTTGAGGTGGGACAATGAACTCTTGATCAGTTGGCTCTATTTCTAGAGGGTACACGCTATTGACTGGACGCGTGACATTGTTGCCATTTTGCAGTTTTATTTGTACACTCCTGGTTGCTCCAGGTTTCCCTACTAATTTGACAATACGTCCCATTGGCCATAGATTTTTTGGATTATATTTTTCTTCTACAATTAAGTGTTCTTCAATCCTTGGGGCGGATTGGATTCCTGGTCTCTTTCCTTTGTGTGCGGTTTGAGTCCTGGACCTTAGTAGAATAATAAGACGAGCTAATGTTGGGCGCTCGATTTGTTGCGCAATCGTTTTGAGAGGAAGTAAACCAGTTTTGTCGGTTTCTAGTGGGAAGTGCTCAATCTGGTTTATGTTTTGCTGTTGCGGAATATTTATAAACAGGGAGCCAGCGGTTAGATAATCATTTGCGGAGAATGCGGAGTTTTCTCTTCTAGATGCTTGAGAAATAGAGAGAAGCTCAGGGCGGCGATTCTTTATGAGCAAAGAATATTCGCGGCCAATTTTCTTGAATGTGGTTTTTAGAAGGTAAAGAACCAAAATGGTAGTTTTTATTTTATCCCATGACTGAAATCTCCCTGTATTGAATAGGGTGTTGGTTATTTGAGACTCAGCGGTGGAGTCGGGATTGGTTAAGGTTCTGATTTCCTTGGCGCGGTTTGCTATAAAGATCGGTTGGTGATCCACATCTTGAAGCCAGCTAAGGGCAATGTTTGAGTAACTCCAGACAAAGGTTTTCTCTACTTTTCGGGGTAGTTCATTTTGGATAAATTTGGCTGCTCTAACTCCCGCTAAAAATCTTAGTAAATCCAATCGTGGTATAATGAGTTTTGAGTTTGCTTTTGATGGACGCAAACGATGTTTTGACAGGAATTTAATAAGCGCTTCATCCATAGATTCGCATTGTACGAGAACATTATCGACGTAAATGTTTTCTTTAAGTGCGTTGGCAAAGGCGGCTTGCTCTTTTGATAGGTGGTGCCTATTGACGGCTGCTAGAATATGAGGAGAACTAATCCCCAAGGCGATTCCTTTGAATCGATAAACAAATAAATTGGACGGCGGAAGAGGTCGGTCCAGGTTTTTAAACCACAAGAATTTCCAGAATTCTTGATCAGATTCGATTGATGAAATTTGATGACAGGCCTTTTCGATGTCGGCCAAAACGGGGATTTCGGTTTCCCGGAAGATGGGTAATTTGTTAGTTAAATTGTCAAGTAACATTGGTCCTCTAAAGAGTGATTGGTTAACTGAGGGAAGTCCTTTTAGATGAGCGAATGCATCGTATAATAGGCGGATTTTCCCTTTATTTAATACTGAATGGTGTGGAAGGATGTGTTCCTGTGCGTCTTGGTTGCACTGTGCGGTTTCAATTACTCCCCGTTTAAGTTGGTCCTCTATTGCTTTCTGGTATTCCTGGGCTAATGTGGGCGCCCCTTCTATCAGGTTAGATACTGTAGATAGGCGTTTGGCAGCCATATCAAAATTAAAGGGTAATTGTGGAGGAGGTCCCGGAGTTCCTTCTGGTGATTTCCAAGGAAGTCCCAATGTGTATCTCCCGTCCGGTTCCTGATTGATGGACTGTTTGACAAATCTATTGGCGATTTCGTCGTCCTTATTTTCTGGGTTGGCGGTAATCCCCATAGACTCAAGGTTCCCAAATTGCTCTAGTTTATTACTGGCAGGCATTTCTTCCGGTGAGCTGTGCACGGCAGAAAGAGAAATGCAGGTTAGCGAGGTAGGTGAAATATAGTGGGGTAATTCACCGCAGAGCATCGAACCAAATTGAGTTCTTATAATGTGTAGATTTCTGCCTATTTTCTTGGATCCTATGAAGAATCTCCAGAATTCTCTGACTCCTAGCAGAATTTCTGGTTCCCTAATTTTGACGGGAATGTTTTTTAAATCTCGGTGGTTAGTCGGGATCCGAGTTCCATCCCATTGAATACATGGAAATGCGGGGACGATTTGAGGAATTGAGCAAAATACAGCTTCTTCCCATCTCCCATTGGGCTTATGGAGCCTAATCTTGTGTCTTGTTGAGCGAAATTTGACTTTATCGGCGCCAAAAACGCGTACTGAGTGATTGGAGGTAGAAACCCTCGGTGGTCTTAAACGGTCGACCAAAGATTGAGAAATGTAGGAAGTTTGGGAGCCGGTGTCCCAGAGACCAACAGTAGTGTAGATTGGTCGGTTATTTCCCGAACTTAATTTTAAATTGCAGGTCATCAGAAAAGTGTGCGGTTTTGACTCTGTAGCAGTCATTGCCATTTCTGGGTTGGCGGGAACATTCCGGTTTGTTTCGGGTTCGCTTTCCGAATTAATTCGCGGATTCGTATAAATTTTAGCTGGTTGGTGAGTCAGACTATTAACCGGCGAAAAGTTTGCGTTCCCTCGAAAATTATTTTGCTGGTTGGTTGGGTGACTAATTTTTCCTTTGTATTGCTTCCCTTTTTGGCGGGTGCAGATAATAAAGTGGTGCTTGCCGCTGCAATTTCTACATCTTTTGGTCGATGTACACTGGCCTATTTTATGTCCTTCGCGGAGACAATTCAAACACCTGCGTTGGGCCTGCAAGCGGGTTTTGCGGCTTTCGGGTGTTGGGAATTTGTGGCAAACAGAAGGGAGGTGATCTTCAGTACAAAGTGAACATTGGCCGACATTCCTTTCAATGACGGTGAATGTGCGGGTAAAGTCGGCTGGCGGAGAATGTGCTGGCCTATGACTCTTTGATTGGCGAGTCGGCTGACTATATTCCCTTTGAATGGACGGGACTCTCAATCTCTTTGTGCAAATTTCCACTTCCTCTCTTATTGCTACTTGTTCTAAAAGGAAATTCCTAAGTTCCTTATGTGTCCATTCTCCGGCTGGTGAACTTCGTTCCCTCTCTATTATTTTTTCAATAAGAGTGGAAGGAAGTTTGGCCTTAATTGTGGTGACTAGTAGGGACGCGTCTTCTTTTGTGCTGAAATTGCATTCTAATTGTCTGCAAATTCTTTCTATGTTATCGCAAAAGGTGCGAAGCGAATCAGCGGTGTCCTTTGTTGGTGGTAATTGAAGAAGCTCTGATTGGAGAGTTTCTCTGAGGTTCCGGGTACTACCATATCTTCCTTTTAAACATTCCACTATAATCGGGTAATTTTCGGCAATTCTCGGGTATCCTTGGATGGTCGATTCCGCTGATCCCATGAGTGAATTGCATAAATGGTGGATTTTGAGCGCGTCTGGGATGTTTGGATTGTCATGGATGGCCAACTCAAAACATTGCCAAAAACTGGTCCATTTTTCGGGTTCCCCAGAAAATTTCGGAATTTCCATGGGAGCGATTTTAAAAGAGTCGTATGCTGGGTTACGCGGTAATTCTTGTTGGTTTGGTCGCTGGGAATGATGCGAGTGTCGGGATCGTATGGAGGCGCTCCGTGATCTAGTCCTGGACTGAAGATTGCCGGAAGTGCTATCCCGTTCGACTATTTCATCGATTGTGTCGATGATGGCCAGGACTTCCACGACCCATTCGGTAAAATGTTTGTAGCCCGCTAGGAGGGGGTCATCCGGTGCCGGGCGTTGGAAGTTTTCATAAATTCTTTCCTCCGCCGGTAGGTTTTCCCGTTTCATTTTTCTCATAAAATCCTGCCATTCCCGGTTTAAATTTTCTATCCTTACGGTATTACTGGCCAACTGCTTCCGAAGAGTGCGGAGTCTTTGTAGTTGCTGTTCTTCTAACACCTCTTGTTGGGCGGTGATGATGTTGGTAGCTTCATTGAGGTTGGTTTTGAGTTGTCTGATGGCTGGGACGATCATTTTGCGGATTGGTCCCGACGACATGATGGATGAAATAAAGTAGATCTGTTGAAATGTAGAGACGGTTGATTAGAAGAGTAGTGTAGACTGTAGAGTTGTAATGGAAGAGTAGTTCTGACGTTGATGATCTAGTTGGTTGATCTGTAGAACGTAGAATTGAAGAGTCGAATGATGTGTCGACAGAAGTAGTGTTGAGTTGAATTGGTGGCTGGAAGTTGCCTGGAGGGATGAAAAAACAGAAGAAAAAAATTATTTAAATTTAATTTAATTGAAATTGAATGAAGAAAATGAAGAGAAGAGGGTCCCGGGTCGTGGCACCATAAAGTTTGTCGCTGAAGAAAACAAAAATGGGGTTGCGGCGCGACAGGTGTGAACCGCGGTTGTCGGGATTGAATTAGACTGTCCCGGGAAGCCCTAAATTCTTCTTCAGAAAGTGGTCCAACTCTCTAGGGCGAGTGGACGGAACCAAAGCTCTTTATTGACGAGCTATTGAAGTTGCCTAAGGGCGGCAAAGGAATACCAAACAAAAAAAAGGAAAGAATAATCAAATTAAAATATTTATTCCGAGGGACCTCAAACTTGGGTAATTAAACCATAAAATAAAATGAGTGAAAAACTTAAGTTTGGCCAAAGTATTTAAAAGTAAATTGAATGGATAAAGGCCAAAACCTAAGTCGGAAAAATTAACTAAAGCGCAGGTGGGGAAAAAATGTAAAAGTGAAGGAGAAATAAACACAGAGAATAAAGCTTAAAATAGCTAAAACTAAATGAATAAATAAAATGATTAAATAAGCATAGGAGAAATGATCAGAAATGGGGTTAGCACAAAAGGGTGTGGCTAACAAAAGAGATATGGGCAACTGGTACAAACGATTAAATAATTAGACGGTGCAAAAGATCACCAATAAAAAGATCAAAAATATTTAATCAATTATGGCAAACGTCGCTTCGGCGACATGTAGCCCATTCAATTCTCTATATTATATAGTAAAATTAAAAATTTTTGATTAAAGATTGGGAAAGTTATGCAATTTTACATATACTATATCAAAATCTGCCCCCCCAAAATTTCATTTTCTGTATCTCAACAATGAAAAGCCCAACCCTGATGATCTCAACAGAATTTAATTAAGCTTATTAGCAAGCCTAACGAATCTGAAAGCTGAAAACTCTAACTCTTACATAGATGGCTCTGAGTAGATGTAAGTCAGTTTTGGGGGGAGTGCGATTTACTCATTTTGGGAGGGTTACGCGCAATCGAATATCTCTTTAAGCGTTAACCCAAAAAAAATTTTGTTTTATAAATTCTATAGGCCAAAGACTGCTCTAAATTCCATAAAAATTTTGTGTAATTCATGCATTCTGTTCTAAAGTTATAGGCAAAATTCCTCAAAAAAAGGTGCGTGCCGGATCGAAATTTTTTCTCACTTGCCTTGAACTTTATCTCAAAGTAGAATGCGGAAAATTCTAAAAATTTTTTATATCTTATTCTTCATTTAGTTCTCTATAATATCATCTTTATTTTATCTCATTATCTTAATTCTGAATAAAGTTATGACTAAAAATAAGTGGGACATCCTTTTTGTGTCACCCTGTATATTGAGATTGTTAAGGCCAGACTGGTGCATGGATACGGATTTTGCTATCCGTATCCGGATATATCCGTGAGGTCAATATCCGTATCCGTTTGTATCCGTCCAACTTTTTAGGCATATCCATCCGCGGATATCCGCGGATATCCGCGGATATATCCGTTTTTTCTCAAAATGGTCAGACTGGCTAAAATTTTCAAAATGGTCAAATTTATTTTAATTCGAGTAATGGTTAGATAATGCTGTAATATGTAACTGCATGCAACAAAACGAACCTTGCTTATGAACATCGGAGGTTCGAAAATAGGAAGGCAGAGTTCGGAATTCCGACCCAACGCTGCATAACAGGGATCATACCGACAAAAAATAAAATTTTGAAAATTTTTGAGAATTTTTGAAAATTTAAATTCCCGATTTCGGGCCGAAATGAAAATCTCTGTTAACTGACCAGTTGATTTCAGCGCCGCAGGCGAAAATTTTGAGAATTTTGGAAGACCATGAAGCAAAAAATCTTTCATTTTTAGCGCCGCAGGCGAAAATTTTGAAAATCTTAGAAGGCCATAGGCCATATGCCAAAAAAATTCACTTTTTTGCCCAATCTCCTCATCAAATTTATCCCTATTCCCCATTTCGAGAGGGGGGTGGGGAATTCCCCCTCCCTCCCTCCCTCCCTGGTTATGAGCCTGGTATAGGTTTTTGGACCTCCAAAATTCAGGAATTTTTGTTTGCTCAGCTAAAAGTGAATTTTTTCGGCTTATGGCCTTATAAAATTCTCTAAATTTTCGCCTGTGCCGCTGGATGAAATCTGGTTTCTTGGCTTTTAAAATTCTAAAAAAATTTTTGCACTGAGTAGGGCTCCCCGAGCCTTCGGGATCGTTGGGGATCCTCGTTTGCCGGTCAGGGCATGTCGTGGTCCGGGTCTTGGTTGACTTTTGGGTCGGGGTTAGTGGTCATGTGCGAGAATCAATTATCTCCTGGCGTTGGGAATATAATTATTTTCTCTTGGCAAAATGTATTTTTATAATTTAATCATGGATGTTTAATCACAGAAATTAGGGAAAATTAGGGACGGATATCCGCGGATTTGGAGCATCATATCCGTATCCATCCGTATCCGTCCGATTTTTAAAAAAACACTATCCATATCCGTCCGTATCCGCGGATACCCGCGGATATCCGGATATTATCCGTATCCATGCACCAGTCTGGTTAAGGCTAATGGAAAAAAATATTAGGAAAAGATCAATCAATTTGGTAGGCTTATAATGAATTCAAATTTTTTGACGATATAAATTAGGAGGAAAGGTAATTTTTTAGGAAACATTTTTCTCCTCTAAAAATTTTTTGAAGTAATTTTTAAAAAATCAACTAAATAAAAGACTTCTTTATTAATTAAAAAATTTTTCAGGTCCTATGCAGTCTTAGCAATTACATTACCTTTGTTATATTATCTGTTTGGTAACAGATGATTTTTCTGTTTTTTCGCATATTTTGAATAGAATTTTAATTCCAAATTTTTTTGAGTTTATTTTTTGCTCAATAAAATTCTATTTTATATTTAATTTTTAATAAATAAATTTTTGAACCTGTTACAAATTAGTATGCTCAAGTATTTGGCTAATTATTTATCAAAAATTGGGTACTTTATTAATATCCCACCCCCACCCCTATTTGAGTCTCAGATTAATTTCTTTTTTTTACTGTTAGTCATTCTTTCCCTCATAAATTTTAAGTAAATGGCAATGTAGAAGGCTACCAGAGCTGTTTCGAAATTTCGTTTTTCGATTTTCGAGGTTTTTTTCCTTTCGATTTCCGATTTTCGAAATTTTGTGATATTTTCGATTTCCGAATTTTTGAAAAAATTTGAATTTTTGGCGCCAAAGTTGATGATTTTTGGCTTATCGGCCTTCATAAATTTTCAAAATTTTCGCCTGCGGCGCAGAAAAAGGAAGATTTTTGGCATAAGGATCCTCCGAATTTATAAAAATTTTTGCCTGCGGCGCAGAATAAGGAAGATTTGTGGCTTAAGGATCCTACAAATTGTTCAAAATTTTCGCTTGCGGCGCAAAATGGAGGAATCCGTGATCTCTTAACAATATTAGGTACTATCCGTTTATATCCCCGCAATTCCGCAAATGTTTGTCCGCACTTTTTTCATTCTTTCTCCTCATAAAGTATTAGAAACGGTCAAGTTAACACCCATTTTTTCTTCGCCTCTTTCTCCTCTCATTAAGATTAAAATGTTCAAGTAAAAATAGAGGAAGACAAATTTTCGCTTATGGAAAAATATAAAGGTAAAAATAATAGAATGTTTAGAAATTATTTCGGTAATAGTTTGTTTGGTACCCCCCCCCCCCTGAACCGAAATACGGGCCTATGAACATTTCGAATAAAAAAAGTTTGTACAAACAAATACTCATTTGAAGCAGTTTGAGCAATATATCTCGGACCACAGGCATTTACGGAAAAAAAGTGTGTTACCGTTCGACTCAGCACCTTTTATTACCTATATATGACATTTTGAGCATTAATTTATGGGGTGTGGCAGAACGGAAAAGTACCAATAAGGGAGAAAGGGAAGGAAAAATGAAAAAATGGTCAGAAAAATGGTAGGTAAAAATGGTATTTGCAGAATTGCGGGGATATAAACGGATAGTACCCAATATTATGCTTTGGCTTCGGTATATTGAAGTATATTGAGGGTTTACTTGAATTAAGGTGGATTTGGACGCCCCCATGTTTGAACCCTATGCCAGGTACCGCCCCACCTTATGAGCTCGCGGCCTAGCTCTGCTTTACTATATTCAGGGGATTTTACTCAAATCCTCCATTATCTCTCTTAATAATGGAGGATTAGATCTCTTTTTTAATCCCTCTTAATCTGGAGACAACATGAAACGGCTCAGAAAATCACCGGCACGAACCGAGATTTGAATAGGTCGGAGCCGGTGCCGTATATTCGGATATGCAACATTTTGGGCTTCCAATTCCTTAGAGTTCCTTAGAGTTCAATTCCTTAGAGTTCCCAATTCCTTAGAGTTCAAGCAAAAGTTCCAACATAACAAAAATTTATTTTCCAATTTACTTTTATTAAAAAATTTTTTTCGATTTTCGTTTTTCGAGGTTATTTTTCTTTCGATTTTCGAAGATTTTTTTGTTACGAAACACCTCTGAAGGCTACCTTTCTAATTTTGCTCCTTCTAACTTGTCGTTTACTTAAAATTTGTGAGGGAAAAAGATGATTGACAGTAAAAAAGAAAAATTAATCTGAGACTCAAATAGGAGTGGGGGGGGGGGGGGGGTGGGATATTAATAAAGGACCAAAAATTGATCAGTTAGTCGACGCTCGAATTTTTATTTTAAAATTTTAAAAATTTGTTTATAAAAAGAGATCAAATTGGAGCAAGACTAATAGGTGCGGACGAATAGGCGCCATTCTTTCGGCGCAGCATGTTTTCGGCGTTTACCCATGCGTAAACCCCCGCGGGAAAAAGGAGCCCATTTTGCAAAAAGGGGCCTATTTTTAGCCCCCTTTTGAAACATCAAAAACTTGACAATTATTTTCAAATTTAAAGTGTTCACCTTTATGGTGCAAAAGTTTAGCACACTTTACAGAACTTTGATTTCTAAATAAATAAATGCCGATAAAAAGACAAAACACAAACAATTTTAATAAACAAAAAAATAATTTAATCAAAAAAGTCAATGAAAAAATTTTGTTTGAATATATATTTTTCTACGACAAATCAAAAACTTTATTTTCGTCTTCTCAAATTCTACTCTTTCATTATTTTCAGTTCAACGTCAGAATTCCTTCCTCCTTTTTCCAAACGAGCTCCTTCACTTTCTTTGGTTAAAAATGAAAATCTCACTTCTGGATTGTGAATATTGGCAATTTGGTATTTTGTATCTTTTCTCTCGTTGTTAAATACTGAATATTGTTTAATTTCGACTTTTTCTGCTCTTTTGCTTAATTTAAAAAGCGTGGGATAAGTGAACCTAACTGTAATAACATCCACCAATTTTGAACAGTCTCTAGATGTTGCTATATACTAAAATTTTAAATTTATTTTTAATTTTTCTGTAAATAAATTACTTCAACAATATGTTCATAAAGCATTTTTACATTTTCAGCAAAATTTTCCATTTCTAGACTATCAAACAACAACAAATCAACATTTTTAAAATTGTCCCCTCTACTTGTTAAAATTTTAAATAAAGTGTCTCTACAATTTTCCGTAGTTTTTCCATAATCCATACCAAAATTAACATCAAGAGTTTTACTAATTAAATGGTTCAAAGCAAATTGAAATAAATTTTCAATATTGTTATCCGTAATAACCAGAAGGCAGGTTTGAATATAAAATTGTTTGGGTCCAAATAATAATTGAATCAATTCTGGATTAAATATAAATTCGTTAAAATGGGCACGTTGAAAAGAACAATTAAATAATTTATTTAAATAATAATAAACAATTTCGATGTCATTTTTGTTTTTAATAATGGTTGGCAGTTGATATCGAAGATGATATTGAATGGGATAAACTAAAGAAATTTAAAGTCAAAAGAAAATAAAAAAAAACTTTTCGGACAGTCTAAACAAAAATAACTTCGCAAAAAAGGAAGGAAAAAAGAAAATAATTTAAATTTTGACCGTTTTTTTCCTTTTTCGCGAGGCGTAGTGACAGAAGACCCACAGACAAAAAACCCACAATGAAAAATTTTTACTAAAAGTTTAGAAGAACTAGATTGGACAACGTTACGATACGAAAAACAACCAACATAAACCTATGGCTCCGCGGGGGTTTTGCGGCACGCGTCTCGCAGGGAGTCAACGATTGCTGGGTTCTGGGTCAGTAACATAAACCTATTCCGGCTCTATCGCAAATGAGGTGCGTAATCACATTTTTTCCTCCTTTTCTCAAGGTGAAAAAGGGCAGTTTTTCCTTAGTATCTAATTTGTGTTGATTTTGGGCACATCTGAAACACAAAACAAAAAGAATATACGGAACAAGCACGAATTTGACTGATTCATATATGATGGAGGCTTTATTTCGACAAAATGCGAGAGCAAGATCAGAATCGATTTCATATGCATTCGTGAAAAAATTGAAAGAAAAATATTGTTTTTAAATATATAATTTATTTTCATGTAAAAAAATTAATCCTCTTTCATTATTTTTCCTTACGGCAAAATTAACACAAATTAAATACTAAGGAAAAACTGCCCCTTTTTACCTTGAGAAAAGAAGGAGAAAAAATATGATTACGCACCTCATTTGCGATAGGGCCCCTATTCCTATTATCGCTGCACAGGGGGCATGCCTGGCATCCTCCGCAGCAGCAAAACCCACCAAAACCCATAGCTAAAGAGTTAATATGAAAGCACAATAGATAAAATTAGGAAAAATGGTTTTGGGTCTTTTGTCTGCGGGTCTTCTGCGTCGACACGTTTTCTGATCCAATAACGTTTGCGATTAGGTCCATAAAAATTTCCCTTTTCTAACTGGTGGACTAAAAAATTATCAAATATACCTTTACATAAGCAAATAATAATATTTTTGTTTAAATCTTGTTCAGCTAAATACAAAGGAATTGGTTTTTCTAATCCATTTTTCCACTAAAAAGAAAAGAAATTTTGACATTTAAATATTTTAATTACCTTCTCTTCAAGTTGAGCATTCAATGGAAACTCAAAATTTCCAGCCTCATGTTTGAATAATTTGTGAGGAAAGTTTTCATTGAATTCTACGATATCATCCTTAAATTTTTTGAAAATTAAATTAATTTAAAAAATTACGAGAAAAATTCCAAATAAATCCTCCCTAGCAAGTTTTCCTTCGAAATAATTAATAAAATCACGAAAATATAGATTTGTTTGTTTAATTGAACACAATTTTTTATAGTTGAGACATTTAAGAATATCAAGTTGTATTTCCGTTGGTAAAGAATAAAACATTTTTTGAAGAAAAATTAATAACACTAAAAATTAAAAAATAATTTAACTACAAAGTCTTTGTACTAAAAAAAGAATAAACGAGACACAGTAACTAATAAATTGTGCTTTAAACGATATAGACAATACAACAACAATTAAAATAATGCTAACAATTAGTGATGCTCGGGTATCCCGATCCCGACTCCCGACTCGGGAAAATTTCCCGAGTTTTTGGCCTCCCGATCCCGATCCCGACTCCCGGTGTCAATTCCCGATTAAGTCGGGAAATTTTTACACCCCTAAGAATGGATTTTTCTGACAAAATTATATTTTCATTTATAAAAAATGAAGAAATCTGGCCTCTTGGTCTCCTAAAATTCCCAAAATTTTCGCCTGCGGCGCTGAAAAGGGAAGATTTTTGGCTTAAGGATCTTCCAAATTCCTCAAAATTTTCGCCTGCGGCGCTGAAAACAGAAGAATCTGTGGAGTTGTAGTATAGAAGATTTCGGTGATTTACTAGGATTATGGTGAATTTGAAGAGACAACGAGGGATTTGCAGTAATAAAGAGAGATATCAATGGATGATTAATGTTGCACAGGGGGTGTTAATACTATAGAGGGATATGAAGAGATATGTGGCTAGTTCACCAAAATTCCACCAAAATTGAACGTAAAAATATTTTTCTCTGTTTCACTCTCTCTTTCTCTATTTCATTCCAATGGAGAGATTCTAAGGACTTAAGGTCAATGGCAACAATTATAAATCAAAGCTGGGCTCTGGCTCAAAGAAAAAGCCCCCAGCAATACCCAACACTGATTATCTCTGCGGTTACTAGGTTTTTTGGACAGGCTGTTGGCTTATCTTTCCAAATAATCGGTGAAATAAACTCTTAAGTTACCCGTAAAGATCGTTCACTATAGAGGGATATGAAGAGATATTTCACTCCAATGAGAGTCAAAATTTTTGGCTGAGGCGCAAAAAATGGAAGAAATCTAACTTCAAGACCTAAAAATTCTCAAAATTTTCGCCTGCGGCGCTAGTAAGGCTTCTTTACCTTCCAGAATTTTCAATATTTTTGCCTATGCTGCAAAAAATCGGAATTTTTGGCGCCGAAGGCGCCAAAAATTTTTTTATTGCTAATTCCCGACTCCCGATCCCGACTCCCGAGGTCATTTCCCGACCCGACTCCCGTTTCCCGATTCCCGGGTTTTTTCTTCTCCCGAGCATCACTACTAACAATAAACGCCGAATATATTTTGGAGAAAAAATCGAATATCAAAATAGTAACAGAATAACGCCAGACGAATAGAAAGGCTTTTATACTAACGCCAAAAAAGTAAGGATCTTATTCATTAGAGAACGGAATTGAGTGGTCGTTCGATAATATCGTTATCGATTATCGATAATATCGACATCGATATGTCAATATTTTCCATTGATATATCGTATCGATCCGGTCTCTAGTTTTAATAAAAAATTTGAAGTACTTATTTAGTTTCCCTCCCCCAGTCAATTTTTGAAAAATATGTAAAAATGGTCAGTCTGAACAAAAAATAAAACACATCGAGCTGTGTCGAATGACACCAAAATCGATGTGATTGGACCAGGGTGACCCTTTCCAAACTAGAGTTGGCCGGGATCGGGATCCCGGTCGGGATCGGGCGGGATTATCCCGGGTTTTTCAAATCCCGATCCCGATTTTTCTGATCCCGGTCCCGAAATAAATATCCCGATCCCGATCCCGGCCAATTTCAATCCCGAGCCGGGATCCGGGATCGGGATCGGGATGTGCATCAGATCCCGATGCAAATCCCGACTTTATAAATTGACTAGAAGTCTGTGAATTAAAGTTAACAGAAGAGGGGAGGCATGAAATTAAGAAAAATTTTCGCCTGCGGCGCAGAAAATGGAAGAAATTTGGCATCTTGACATCCAAAATTCTCAAAATTTTCGCCTGCGGCGCAGAAAAGGAGCAAATTTAAACAAAGCTGTCTATAAAACTTCGACGAAATATTGAGTGATTTGGTGTGATATCGAGTGATCAAGAGGGGTTGAGGGGAGTATAGGTGGATTTGGAGCATAGAAGGATATCGGTGGATTTACAGTGATTAAATTAGATTTGAAGAGAACCGAGGGTTTACGAGGGACATGAATATATCGCTTAATCACTCAATTTCAGTTGAACGTAACGCTGAACGTTGAACGTAACATTTGAACGTAACGCATTTAATCATGTAGACTTGAACGTTTAGACTTACATGCCCTTGGCCTTTCAAGATTAAAAATTATTGCCTGCGGCGCTTAAAAGGGAGTAAATCTGGCACCTTGGCCTTCAAAATTTTTCAAAATTTGGAAGGCCAAGGTGCCAAACTTTTCAAAAGGTGCAAATTTTTTGAAAATCAAAAGCCCAATCCCATTTATCCTCCCCCCTCCCATTACCTTATCCCCCCTTAATACCCTGAACCGGAAAGTAAATCATGCGTCTATGAGACTTTAACTCAATATTTTAGCACCGCAGTGGAAATTTTAGAATTATATTGAGTCGTTTGTGAAGAAAATAAAAATTTAAAAGTTAAAAAAAATTTTTTTTAGTAAATCCCGATCCCGAGTTTTCAATCCCGGTCCCGATTCGGGATCGGGATCTCCAGTCCAAATCCCGATCCCGATTTCGGCCAATCCCGATCCCGTGTCGGGATCCGGGATCGGGATCGGGATCACCATTCCAAAATCCCGATCCCGGGTTTTTCTCTAAATCCCGATACCGGCCAACTCTATTCCAAACCACTAAAATAGGGCGCAGCTAATCAAAAATGTGGCAAAAATAGGGCGAATCTGGTATAGGGCGAACTGGTAAACACTTAAAAAATAATTAAAATTATGATAAAAAGCTTTATTCCACATATTTTTCACTAGTTTGAACTATATTAAGTAAACCTGGTTCAGAAATAAAGAGAGGTCTACTATAAAAGGTAGATAACACCTGGGCCCGTAGAATAAATTCGGGGTAAGGGTTATTTAACCCCTACCCGAGGGTCAAATAACTCGCAACCCGCAGCATAAATTGCTACTCTGAGTTCAGGGTTAAACAACCCGGTAGTTTAACCCAAAACCCCGAGTAGCTTTTCACATTGGTAGAATAAATTATTTACTCGGGTTAAATAACCCTCAGCTAAGGGTAAAATTTCTACACTGGTCGGGGGCAGTGTAACAGGGTAAAACGCGTCTCGATTGCTCTTTTCCAAAATATATTAAGTTTTCAAAATTTTGAAAAAAATTTTATATTCAAAAAATGAAAAAATATTTATGAAAAAATTTTTTTTGAAAATCCAGGTTTAGATCCGGGTATTAAAAATCCGGATTTTGATCCGTAAAGTCCAGTCCGGATGAGAAAAAATTAAAATGCGGAAACCGGATCCGGCATTTTCAAACTTCTAACTCTAATGATTTTACTTAAAAGTTAAAGCAGTTAATGTAAGTTCAATATAGAAATAAAATTAAAGAGTTACTCGCGAGTTACAGTAACCTCTAGTTTGGAGTAAAAATGCGAATTTATTCTACGGAATTTATTCTACCAATTTTACTCGGAACTCAGGGTTATTTAACCCAAGGTTATTTTACCCGGTTATTCAACCGGTTATGTTACCCCGAATTTATTCTACGGGCCCTGAATGTATAACTATTTTTTGCGATCACATATCAAAATGGCATTAAGAATAGCAGTAGTGTACATCATGGATCGCACCGATAACGTTCTTGATTCCCGAAATCGGGAAATTTGTTTTTATGTCGGTGCGATCCCTAGTATACATCAACATTCCATTTGACTGACCACTCGGCCACTCGCTTATATGAGCGCGGTTGAAAGAAATTAAACATACTTCTTTCAATTTTTCTTTTAATACCAAGTACGAGCGTAAGATTAGTTTATTAATATTCAAAAAACGAATCGTTAGGGGTGTAAAAAGTTCGGGTTTGCCCGGAACCGATTTGTAAACCGGAGCCGGAACCGGGTCCAATTTGAGTTCAGGTTCCCGGAACCGGAACCAAAAACAAAGGAACTTTCCAGAACCGGTACTTCCGGTGAAACTCTACTCAGAATGTCCCACCGGATAAAACCTAAATGGCAATTAAGCGAAACCCGGAAAATGTCCCATGCTCATTTCGTCAATTTCAAAATGCTTAAGAGAGTAAATATACTTTGTTCGTCGAACTATAAAGCTAATGTTCAATTTTAAAAACGTGATTAATTATTTGTTAAATTCAATATTTAGCTAATTTTTGGCATTTTTTGTCAATATTATGACATATTATTTCAATATTTTATAGCCATATTTTGCGATTTTATTTCAATATAAATTCGAGCCCTAGTCATTAAATTAACATTGTATGTATTTTACCTAAACTATTTCCAAAATTTTAACTTTGAGAATAAAAAATTTGTCAAAACTACATAATATCTTTTAAATAATTTATTATAAATCTAAATAAATAAAGTTAAAAAAATTATTTTTAATTTGTTTTACTCTCATTAACATTTATTTTCCCTTCTTCTCCATTAAAAAATAAATCCTTTTCTCTATGTAAATATAAAATAAGCAACCAGCCCAGCAATAATTGACAAACCAGTCAACAAAACAATTTTCTTTTGATTTTTTGTTTAAAGATATAATTTTAAAATATTTAAGTTAACAAACCTGCAAGTTAAGTATTTTCTTGCACAATTTATTTTGGTAGCCGTTTGCCGGTTTTTGTCTTTCTCCTACTGAAAATATATTTTAAGTTAATTTCTAAATATATTATTGGGTAGCTTTTTAGGACACGTGTATCGAATTAATCTGAAAATCTCTCCAACCCTTTGTGGCTTCTCACGCAATCTGCCTTCATGACCGGACCGAGATCCCCAATAAAAATCTCTGAGACCGAATTATTCGCCAGAAGATCGAAGGCTATGCTCGATCAAAAGTATATCGTAGAATTGAGATGGGTTTGGGGAACATATAAACCGAACCGAAATTTTCGTGTTCTTTGCTCGGTTCGATTTAATACCGACAATTCTAGTGTTGACTATATATTTAGTAACTATAAAATACAAATTACCATTTGAAGAAAATTCTCCACAAAAACCAATTTCCACCATCTTCAAGGCCGTTTCTATATTATCAGATTTAAATTTAACCCATTCCTTGCTGAACAAAAATTGTTTGTTATCAGCAATATACTTAATACAAGCCTGGGAATATTATTATTTTTCTAAAATGAATTTAAATTTTAAAAACCTTCTCAAGCATTGGAAGCCCATAAGTTTTAGCGCATTGATAGCGGTTATTAAAATTTGAGGGATCTAAATTTTTACAAAATATTTTTTAATTAAAGTTTGAAAAATTTTCTTTCAAAAAATTAATTCTTATTAGTGCTACACACAATTTCAAAAACTAAGAACGGTGCGCATTGACGTTACGTGGCTTCAACAATGACCTTTTAAATCTTTGCTCCGGAAGTAATCAGTCTCCGGAGCCATGCGCAGTACTGTGGAAAAATCCGGAAAATCGATTTTGCCGGGCACTAATTGATATTATAGAAAAGTGTTCTTATTTTGAGAAAAAGATATTTCCTTCTTTCCATAAATAGAACATATTACACGTCAAATTTTGTTTTTAAAAATTTTTATACTTTTTTTGTATAGCTTCTTGGCTTCCCAAAATTCTTAAAATTATAAAACGAATTTTGTGAATTTTAAAAATCGAATTTTACGCTGAAAATCAAAATTTTTATTCCAGTATATTTTTGAGGATTGAAGAAAAATATTACCTATAAGACTAAACAATTTTTTGAATCTGGTTAATTTTTGTTCTAAAGTATTGGGTCAAAGCTCGGTTTTGTCTCGGAAAATTCGGTCTTGGACAGCTCTAACAATTATGAACCGCGGGGAGAATTTCTAACATTATTTAAATTACATGTTAGAGGTTAACTTGTAGCTCTTTTTTAACAAAATTTATTTTTAAGTTTAAACTGACTAATTGATGAACCCATTCGGCGCTCACACTCTTCTTTTAAAGATTCAACTTCATATTTGTGAGCAATTGCATATAAATCCTCCCCTAGTTCTTCAAATTTATCTTAAATTTTGTATTAAAAATATTCTAAAATTGAAATTTTATTTACCTTCTTTAATTTCCCCAGTATATAAAAATTCGATCATTTTCTCACAACAAGCATAAGAGAAATCGACAATTTTCAATTCGCCCTAGAAAATTACATTAATAACCGGTTATTCTACCTTATTTAGGTAAGATTGTATACATACAAGCTTAATATGTATTAGAGCGTGCCATTTTAGATTCTTAGCTATTTTTCGAACTCTTGATGAGAAAAGTCCGGAAAAATACTGTTCTACCGCATAATGCTTCGCCTTTTTGAAAAAAACCCCATTTTGACTTATTTCAACATTTTTGGGCCTATTTTAGTGTTTTAAATTCAATTTGCCAGTTATCTTTCAATTTTTTAAATGGAAATTTGGTAATATTGAACCGGACAGACCCCCTTTTTTCTTACTTAATTTTCCCACTATATTTTTGCAAAATGGTCAGACTTTTTCCTTTCTTCCATCCAAACGGGTAGGGGCAACTCAAAGAATTCGAAATCACGCAGACAAGTCAAGGATTTGACCAGCTCAAGGACATATCAACTCAAGGAACAGACACGCTAAGGAACAGAAAGGTCAAGGAACGATCAAGTCATGGATTTTAAAATCAGATTCTGATTTTAAAATCAGAATATTTTTAAAAATTTGAATATTTAAAAAAATAAGAATTCTAAAAGATTAGAATACTGTTATCTCTTCAAATTCACCATAATCCTAGTAAATCACCGAAATCTTCTATACTACAACTCCACAGATTCTTCAATTTTCAGCGCCGCAGGCGAAAATTTTGGGAATTTTGGAGGACCAAGAGGCCAGATTTCTTCATTTTTTATAAATGAAAATATAATTTTGCCAAAAAAATCCATTCTTAGGGGTGTAAAAATTTCCCAACTTAGTCGGGAATTGACACCGGGAGTCGGGAGGCCAAAAACTCGGAAAATTTTCCCGAGTCGTGAGTCGGGATCGGGATACCCGAGCATCACTATTATGCAGCGATTAAAATCAATTTAGAAAGTCGAAAAAAACTTTAGAATAAGGGAAAATAGGAATAATTCGGAAATTTTAAATTTTAGGACTTTTCTAAATATTTGCTCTAATATTCTCTAAATATTTTGAAAATATTTTGCATTTTCTAAATTTTTTTCTCACAGTTTGTGCCTCCAACATATCCAATTCGAACATTGTTTTAAACACAACACTATTGTTGGCCAAAACACAGCGATGAGTTTTTAATTCTTTATCTCCAACCTATAAATTAAGATTTTCTTAGAAGCTTTCCGTAAAAGAAGTAACAAAAATTATCATTTCTCGGTAAATGTGCAGCTCGCCCTCCACATGTTTGCAAATAATTTTCTGCAAAAACGCATTTTTACTGAACTTATATTTTACTGAACCGCAGGTGAAAATTTTGAGAATTTTAGAGCTTCAGAAGCCAGATTTCTTCCATTTTTTGCGCACTAGGCGAAAAATCTAGGTTTTTGAAGTTCAAAAAATAATATTAAAGGTTTAAAATCGTTCTCATGAATCAAAAAGTTTAAATAATCTGAAAATAATTCTCTACTGCCGATTAGAACTCGAACCTAACACTTGTTTAAATAAAGACAAGCGCCTTAACCACTCAACTAACCGCTTATTTAGATAGTTTGAAAGAAAGTATTTTCAAAAAATCTCTCAAATTCCCAGATTTTCTGGGACGGAGTCGGGGAAATTCCAAGCTGAGGAAAATTATGTTAGGGCGAGGAAAGGAGAATTCAGCAAAAATGCATTTTGCAGAAAGTCATTTGCGGTCATGTGGAGGACGAGCTGGATATTTACCTCAATTATCTCCCTAGTTTAATTAAAACCGGATAAAACATTGAAAGCACATAAATTATTAGATTAAATAAAATCAATAAAGTAAATTTAATTATATTACCTTAATTACAATGTCCGCTAATGTTTCTTGCTCAAACATTTTAGTAAATGATTTTTTCACATTATTTGCAGACATATCACTTGCTTTATTATTCTTGTCTAAATCATTGAATAATTCCATTTCTTTTTCATAAAATAAAGGTATATATTCTACCACACAATATAAATGTAACGAGTCATCTATTTAAATTTGGGGTTTTTAGAATAATTTTAAAATATAAATAATGTCGCAAGTCTAAATTAGGAGAAAAACGTCTGAATAAATTTAACTGAATAATTGGATTGTTCAATAAAAATTATAACCAGGGCTATGTATGGCTCGGGAGCTAGCTTCCGAGTCATCTCTCCGGAGCCGGAGCTAAGATTTTGAAAACCCCAAAGCTGGAGCCAAGATTTGAAATGCCCGGAGACGGTTTTCAATTTATCACGGCTACGGATGTACACACCTAAAGAAATGTGAAGGAAGGAAAAGTGTAAAAATAGCAGGCGTGAGAAGAAAAGGAAGAGAAAATTGAGACGGGTAAAAAACATTTTCTTTCCTTCACTTCGAAAAGATATGTGGTTGACAGGATATTGTGTTGGGTTCGTAGGTTTTGGGACTGATCTGCATATCAGGTTCGAACCCTCACATAACAAACGATTAAGAAATTTATTTTTTCGCTTGTAGAATAGGTAAATTATTATAAATTTATAAAGGTTATCATATTTTTTAAATAAATCCAAAATTCTCAAAATTTTCGCCTGCGGCGTAAAAAGTGTGGGAAAACGAGATTCCATTAATCCGCGATACCCCTCTTAATCCACCCAAATTCTCCGACATCGCCCTTAGTCCACCAAATCCACTCAAATCCAGCTTAATCCATTGATATCCTTTTAATCCTCTGATATCACTCGATATCTCCCTTTATCTATCCAAAACTCCCAATGAAAAATAATTCATTATTTTTTACACGGAGCGGCTCCGAAAATCGCCGGAGCTGGAGCTAAGATTTAAAAGCCCGGAACCAAGGTTTGAAAAAGGACGGAGTCGGAGCTAACAAATGCTCAAAACACAGCACTAATTATAACTTTGATTTTACGTTTTTGGACCTAATAGAATTTTTCTGATATTAAATGAATACATTAAGAAATTCTAATAAATTTACCTTCAACATGAAGACATTTCTCCATGTCAATAGGAAATTCATCAGATTTAATCATGTTTCTAAAATCGACCGAAGTTCTAAATATGTATGATTTTTAAAAAGTAGATAGAAAAAAGGTTATAGACGAGTATTTAGACTATGAGATTTGCTAGAATCATTTAGATTTTTTAACTTATTGAGTAGGGTAGCACAAAACCGTTAAAAAAAGAAAAAAACTGGTTTTTTGGTAAAATTAAACGGAACGTTATACGGGTCTCAGATAAACGGTATACGGTTTTTTCAAAATTAAGCGGGCTGTGCTACCCTGTTATTGAATAAAGTAGCTTTCTAAGTGTTTTTGGGTAAGACTGTAGCTCATGAACACAGTCTTGATTCAACGTTATTCGATGCTTCTGTTCAAAGTTATGATCAGCTGAAATTTTATTGGAAAATTTTTTGAAATTTTGTATGAAGAACTAACAAAAAAGAATTTTTAACTTAAGTAATATTGGTTATATAGCAACTCATTGAAATACCACTAATAGAGGTCATTCCGATTGAGACAAGTAATAAAGTGGTAAAGTTAATTTTATTCAATCTTTATTTAAAATATAAAAGACTTACGAACAAATAACTACTTTTCTATTATAAGTATCAATTGCGTAGATTGTAAATTTTGCTTTTATTCTACAATCATGTTCTTTCTTATCCACATTAGCTAGAGTAATTATAGGAGAAAGAGCAATTGTAGCAGCTTAATTTAAAAAAATATTAATATGTCATTCAAAACAGCTCGACGAGCTGAGTCGAACGACACTAAAATCTTCAAGGAGCTTCAAGGAGGTAACATTTGCATATTCATTTTTTCACCTCAAAATTTTTGCTTACTACCTACTACTACCCCCTATTGTTTTTCAATTTTTCGGGACCTATACGAGAATTATTTCTTAAAGTGGGGAGTGATACAGTTCGACTCAACTCCGCCAAACTTTTAGCACCGGTATACAATACTACAGTCCATATCTCTAAAACAGATTTGAACCCAAATAGTTACAAAATACTTATTACCTTTTTCGAGCATAGGCTTATCAATTTTGAGTGGGTAATGAGGAATTAAGGAGGGAATGAATTAAGCTCATATTGGTCAAAAATGCAAGTGAGGAATCAGCTGAAAAACTTAATAAGCCGGATTTCAGACCCAACTCTAATAGTAAATGATAAATATTATCAAATTCCCATAATTCCTATCAAAATTAACATATAAAAATTAAATTATACATCTGTCATTAACTTGAGGATAATAATACAATTTCCATTTAATTGAATTACATTTTGGATTGTAAAATTCTTTAGCTAAAAATATAATTTTTTTAAAAAAAAAAATTGGGAGCAGGCCAAGGTATTGGGAGCAGGCCAAGGTACCGCTAGCCCAAGGTACCGCCGAGCTATAACTTTCTTCAAAATTGTCGAATCCGGGACGCCCTGGTATGGTTCGATTCAGCTCGTTGAGACGCATCGAACCATACCACGGCGTCCCGGATTCGACAATTTTGAACGAAGTTATACATAACTCGGCGGTACCTTGGCCTTGCGGTACCTTGGGGCGTACCCAATGTATATACAGACTTGGTAAACAAACGCCTTTCTGAAGAAATTCATTAAATAATGTAATATCTTTAAATGTCCACTCTATTTCGCATTTTAATACTTCGGGCTAAAATATTTAATTAAATTAATTTCACAATATTAATTAAATCTTAACTGTTTCATATGTTTTTGCGTCGAAAAATATTTCTCTAAAACAGTAATTTTATTTAAATTATTATTTACTTTTAATTTATTTAATATTCTCGTGAGAATATTAAATCTAAGTCCCTAGGAAAATCTAAGCTCCAAGAAGAATAATCTAAGCCCCTAGAGCTTATATTAAGAATTTATTTTAGGAATATAGATAAATAAAGTACCGTATTTACTCTGGTAATTCCCCAGGGGGATTATTGTTTCAACCCATCCCCAGGGTGGGGAATTAATAGAGACTGGGGAATTAATAAAGACTGGGGGATTACTAGAGTAAATACGGTAACTGTTCTATATTCGGTAATTTTTCTATAATTTTTATCCAAAAATACTTAACTTTATCGGGAAAAAGGGGTCGGATAAAGTTAGTTGAAACATAAATAAAATAGGAATTCTTTTTGAAAAATTTATATTTCTTATAAAAAAAAATTTCCAAAGCCAAGGCACTTTATATTTAAAAAATTTTCGCTGCGGCTCTAAAAAAAGGAATTTGTATAATATCCGAGGGTTAAGGGGATTTCAACGGATTAGGAGAGTTTACGCAATCGAGAAATTTTCGGTAATTTTTCTATCATTTAATTCAAAATTACTTGTAGCTTAAAACATGAAACGCTAAATCGAAAGAAATCGTGCCGCTTGATCTTATAAAATTCTAAAAATTTACGAGTGCGGCGCTGAAAAAGGAAGACTGGCTTCTTGACCTTTAGAAATTTAAATTAATTATTAAAAAATTAAATCAGAACAGAATAAGAAGATAAGAACAAAAGTAGATTTTTTGTTATTTTAGAAAAAATTATATTGTGCCGCGCTATGATAATTATTTTAAAGGCAATGCTACAAATTTGAAAAAAATTTGCTTAGTAACCAAATATGAAAATAATTCATTTTTGGCCATCAAAATTCAAGTATAATTTTTAATATAAATAGAAATATAAATAGTACATATTTACCTTTCACGATAAGGCCACATTTTAATATTTAATGTATTAAAATCTTAAAATCAAATATTTAAATAATAATTAATATGTGCAATAAATTAATAAAAAAAAATAAAATAGATTCAAAAAGTCAAGCAAAAAAAAGTCAAGCAAAAGTAACATAAATCTATCCCTTTTTCCATTCTCAGCCTTGATATGACGACCTACCCCCGTTTTTTACTACCAAAAAAGTGCTTACTCTCCCCCATATGGTTTTTCAAATTTCAGGGACCTATATCTCGGCCCAAAGGCATTGATTAAAAGTTTAAGAAATTGAAAAATTTTAGGGGGCCATAGTTTTGTTACACACTGAATGTAAACAATATGTAGTAAAAAGTGTAGTAAATGCCAAAGACGAAAATTAGGGTTTTTCGGTTGAAGCGCCAAAAAATTTGACGCTAAAAGTAAGATTACGTTTAGACCTAATCGCTTAGTTTAAACAAAAAATTCCAACCAAATTAAAAATATTTATTTTCCAACTTAAATAAGTCCAACAATTAATAAAATAAGCGAGCCAACAAAGAAATAAGTTAGGGACTAAAAAAGCCTGCCAGAGATCCAAAAACTGAACTGAACCCCGAATAAAAAATTATAAGATTTTAAATAGGCCAGAAAATGGGTGTGGAATTCAGAGAAGATAAAACACATACAAGTGCAAAGAAACGGCAGATCAAAGAATAAATTAAATATATTAGAAGGAAGAAAAGTTGTTTACGATTAAGCAAACAAAAAACGGCCAATTGCTAATTGTAAGTTGAATATAAAAAAATTTTTTAAACATAAAGGAATTCCTAGATGACAGATGCGCGGTAAGATAA